AGTTGTGGATTCTAACCCGTACAGGTAAGTTTGTTTTTTAAATGTATTCATTATATGGTCTTTTAATTGATTTTTGTGTAGACGGCTCACTATGTTGAGAGCCGACGCCTTCCTGTGAGTCATACACCACAAGCTAATCTCAGCTGTGTTTTCATTTTAGTCGCCTCATGGCTTTAAAGAGAATGGGCATCGTAGATGATTACGAGGTATGTTCAAAGTTGTTGTTGTTGTTTTTTTTTTTTAATACGGCACAGTTTCTGGTTGCTCTCCCTTCCAAGTGTTCATATTTCATATTAAACAATAAAGAAAAACTGCTGTTACAACATTAAATTACTTTTATCTAGCGATATATGTTTATAGAAACCCAAACCCGATATTCATAATAGCATGATTACATACAGATGTTTACCTACACTCATTATGGCCATGAATGTCGTGGTGATTTGGGGCTTTTATTGATTTCTTTGATCTGTTCTTTTTCTGGGGTGGAATGATCGTAAGATACATCTTTAATCATTTACAAAACAAAAATTGGGTTCATAAGATTGAATTCATGTTGGATTTTGTCTAATCCACACAGGTTCAAAACATACATTAAGTAAATAAATAAGTACTACTAGTATTAATACTTGGTTAAATGTCTTTCTGCCAGTTGAACCTCAACCAGGTTTTGCCATAACTCTCACTGGATATTTGGCCACTCTTAACAGCCGTTAGGCATAGTCCACTAATTTTAAATAGAGAGATAGAAAAGAGTTTATTTTAAACATGTGTATATATAACTAAAACGTTTTGAGCAGGGTTGAGGTCGGAGCTTTGGGAATGGCCGATCCAGCAGCTTAATGTTAGTTCCTTGATCCATTCCAAAACCAGTTTTGATGTGTGTTTGGGATCATTGTCCTGCTGGAACACCCAATTTTGTCAAGGTTCAGCCATCTAGCTGTTGATTTGGGGTGAAGCTGAAAAGCCCAAACGTAATGACATTCATCCCCAAGATGAGTGTATGTAAATTTCTGTTCACAAC